TGAAAGTGCAGGACCTGCTTTGCTTTCGTTTGATCCGTTGTAAGGAATTCATGGTTTCTAAAACAAAGGAGCTCTAGTTCTTAAAAAAATACTTCTTTGGGGGGCTCCCTGGGAGCCAGGGAGCTACCCACATGGTGCAGCAGACCTCCCCTGTCTTGCCCACTGCTCTCTCAGCAGTATATTTCAGTCAGACTGCCTGTTCTGTTTCCTACTCCATCTCTCATGAATCCTCTCACTCCCCTACACATACCTTTGGCCTGTACCCCACTTCTTGTATGCATTAATAAATAAATCTTTTAAAAATGTATTTCTTTGGCCAAAAGAGTAATATACAGACCTTTTCCTTTGTTTTGTAATGAATGACCAAGAAAATTATTCACATAATAATGTTAAAAGTTAACATAAGTAGGGCCCCCTGGTGGCGCAGGCAGTTGAGCGCTGCACTGTGAAACTGCACAGCCTTGGAAATGCAGGTTCGATCCCAACTGGTGGGGGAGAATTCCACATGGTGCTGCAGACCTCTCCTGTCTCTCCTGCTGCTCCCCTCAACTGTGTATTTAATCAGTCTACCTGTTCCCCGCTCTGTCTCTGGTGAATCCTCTCACCCTCCCGTGCATTTGGCCTGTACCCCGGTTCTTGTATAAATAAATAAATCTTTTAAAAAAAGTTAACATAAGTAGATTTTATATATGTTTATACTATGTATTACATTTATTATGTTATAGCATATATGATCTATGTGGTAGATATGATCTATATTTTTTACATCATTATATTTTGGTAATATATAACATAAGCAAGTATATTAATATAAATTAAGAGGAAAGAAGTTAGATTCCTACTGCCTTGAAGATAAAATTCAGTATCCTAAGCATGCCATACAAGTTCACAGCTTGTCTTCAAATTGCTTTATTATTTCCCTATTGATACACACCAAATTCTCAAATTCTCAAATTCTCAGTCAACACTTCTTATGACTCCTCTGCAGAATGCCTTTCCTCCTTCTACCTTCTTGCAAACTCACAAACTTATATTCAGAGTTTGGAACCCTCAAAACCCTCCTTGAATGAAGCTCTCCAGCGGCTCCTCACTTGGGTTTCCCAGCATCTTGCTGCTTCTTCCTCAATTCTCCTGTGGAATGTATATCTCTATTATTATTGTTGTTGCTGCTGTTGTTGTTGTTGTTGTTGTTGTTGTTACCATTAATGTGTTTGTCTCCTTGAGGGAAGGAGTCATTCCTATTTTTTCCTTATTGTTATAAGAAGTTCAAGTAATGCTCAATATATGAAGTAATGAGACAAATACATGGATTTAGGAAAAGTTACTCTGATACCCTTGTAGAATATTAAGGAAACACTTATCTTTCCAAACTTGGACTGAAATTGAAGGATAGCAGAGAAGATGAAATGGTATTATAGAGTCATATACTAGCTGGAAACCTTAGACCAGGGAGGGAGGGGGCATAGGTCATCTCTCCTATTGATTTCAATAATAGTTATAAAACCACTCCCTACAATTACCCTTATACCTGCTTTTCCTCTCCATGCATTTGGACGCTTGCTACTCCTTTCTACTCTGTTCTATGTAGCAAGTGATTTCTAGGTATTTTTAAAAACCTAGTTTGGAAATGAGGAAATTATGATTTTTTGTTTGTGATCATTTATCAAGGTCATAGTGTTGGGAAAATTAACCATATTCACTCTTGACTTACTGATGAGAAAGGAAGACATGATTTTCCTCAGAATACCTTTAAATAAATGTTGACATTCAAATGGTTATGAGTTGGTCCATCTTTTGGAATAGTTAAAAACTTTATAATTTTGAAATTTTATAAGGATGAGGCAGTTGCAAAAGTAGTACAGGGATGGCCTGTGTACACTCACCCAATTTCCCCCAATTATAACATCCTACATAAGTAGAATACACTATCAAATGGGAAAATTGACAGTGATACAATCCACAGGACTTATTTAGAGTTTACCAGTTTTACTTTGTACTCATACTCGTGTGTGTGCATGCGTGTGTGTAGTCTGTACATTCTTATCACATGTACAGATTCCTGTAACTACCCCCACAATCAAGAGAGAAATAATCCACTGCTCAGAGATTTCTTGTGTAACCCCTTTATAGTCACACCCATTCTCTGAACTTCTCCCTCCCGTATTTTGGAATGTATATACATATATGTGCTTAATGTGTGTGTGTTTGTGTGTATATTTGGTATTTCTCACTAACTTTCTTCCTGAAAGGGGAAGTAGGTTCTCCCTCTGGTTCTTGTGTTGTTTTGAATGCTGGAAGTAGAAAGGAGCACCGGCTTGGAAGTTAGGGGAACTTCTGTGCCCACCAGCGGAAAAATCATTAATAGTAACACAAAGAAGGCTCCCAAGGAAATGATTCTTATTTCTATAATTGGCTAGTTTCTAAGAAAATGTACATTGTCTTGTCTAGATAAATGCTTGCCATGGTACTAAAACCAATAGCAGCTCAACAAATATTTATCAGGCAAATACACTGATCCAGCAGGGAGCAAAGCGATCCCTAACAGCTCCTAGGACAACAGGAAACAATTCTCTGTTGGTTTCAAAGGGCAGATGTTTGAAATTAGTAAGGCTTAGAGCGAATAGAAAAAGGAAAAAGCTAGCAAGTCATTTGGTTTTCTTATTTATGTGTCCTTAATGTATTTCTCTAACCAAGAAACAAAAGACAAAGAGCTGACTATTCATTCTCCTGAAACTACAGGTGAGGTGTAAGCTGCCCTCCATTCCTTAAACCCCACAGAGATGCTTGTCCCATCCCCCGTCTTGGTATTGTGCAGTCTTCCTCCTGAGGGGAGGGAGAACGTGAGGTTATGTGATCAGCTAGGCTATAACAGTAGGTACCAAGTGATGAGTGTGCTTATTTTGGTAGTATTGGTGCTAAGAACTTTAGCTATAATATCTCACTTAATTCATATCATAACCTTGTGAGATGTGTGGTTTTGTTCTTCATATTACAATTGAGAAAACTAAGACTCGGAGAACTTAAGTATTTTGCTTAAGACTACACAATTGGTGAGCAGAGGATTCTCAATTTGAACCCAGGTCAGTGGACCAGTGTGGGGAGTCTTGACATTAATTAGGTTGAGAGGTGACACAGAATTCTATACACAGTTCTTTTGTTGGGGGGGAGAGGATGTCCTGAACAAACTCCACAAATATGTTTATGGGCCCCACCCCCACCCCAGACCAAAGAGATCCAAGACACAAGGACTACAAATCCCATAATGTCATCACCACCGAAGGGAGGATTGCTGGGAACTGAGGGTGGAGTTAAGCAGCCAGGTTAGTATTTAACCAGACATGTGGGCCTTGGAGGTCCTTGGCTTTTTTTTTTTTTGGCCAGCGTTCAGCTTGTTATTAGGGTTCCAGCTCAGCGGAACTGGTAAGATGCATTCACCAATTTATCTCTTTCTTTCTCCCTGAGTTATTCATTTCTTCATTTTCCTTTTTTTTTTTTTGTAAATAAGCCCTTTATTACCCTTTTTGTGTGTTCCTGCAGTTGGGTCTCATTGTAAGTTCCTTTTAAGCATGCAGGTGAGGCCCCAAAGTCAGGCCAACACATTTCATATTGGGGTTGCCCTGTCAGACTTTCATAAGCAACCTCTCCCACTCCCCCAAGTGATTCTGATGTACTGACTCCTTGGGAAATATTGCTGGAACCTACTTCCTGCAAGAAATCCCATGTTATTCAAATGGAGTGAAAACACAGAAAACTGATAAACTTATATGAGAGATGCTGTTATTTGATAAACACCTTCAGGCAAAAGATGCTAAATGACTAGTGGCTTATGCTGATGCTTTGGATATATTCTTAAATTTTATTTATTTATTTATAAATTAGACCACCAGAAGCCTGACAAAGTGTTGGGAGCACTTCCACAAGAAAGAGAAATAAGGGCCTCCCTGGTGGTGCGAGGGGTTAAGTCTCAGCACTATGAAGCAATAGGCAGCCACCGCAGCATGAGTTCAATCCTGTCTCTCCTGTTGCTCCCCTCAGCAGTGTCTCAGTAAATCTGCAGATTCTGCTCCTCACTCTGTCTCTAGTGAATCCTCTCACCCCTCCCCTCCCCCCATCTCCTCTCAACCTCTGGCCTATACCCTAGCTCTTGTATTCATGAAATAAAAAATATAAAAAAGAAAGGGAACTAAATTATCTTGCATCTATAGAGCACAGATTTAACTACTTCTAATATGGAAGTAGATGAATGCTGGCGTAGTCTAGTTTTTGTATTTACTGGGAACTCTATTCCAGATAGGGAAAAATGAAAATAAAGCTATATAATACGATAAAAATGTTCCCTCTAATCAGCAACATATATGATTGTATTTAATGAAATGTTCTTTTTTTTTAAGATTTATTTTTATTTGTTTATTTATACAAGCACTGAGTACAGTCAGAAGCGCGGGAGGGTGAGAGAATTCACCAGGGCCAGGGCAGGGAGCAGAGCAGGCAGAAGGACCGAGGTACACTGCTGAGGGGAGCAGCGGGCGACAGGAGAGGTCTGCGCGCCATGCGGGACCCTCATCCGGTGGCCGGGGAGCAGCCGGGGATCGAACCGGCGCTGCAGAGGCTGCGGGCAGCTTCGCAACCCAGCGCTCAACCGCTGCGCCACCAGGGAGCCCCTAATGAAATGTTCTTGATAATATCTAAAGTCTGCTCCGTGAGAACTGAATGTGGGAATTAACATAAAAAGCAATTTCATATACACATGCCAGCAGAGAACTAACTGAATTTGTTTCATTCACAAGAGCAAGGGGGGAAAATATCTCAAATTGCACTTGATTTCAACATACCAAGCCAAACAACTAATAAACCACCCACAAAGAATGAACTCGTCATTCTGCAAATACAAATTATAATATTATGATATGCATAAGTAGAACAAACCTGGCCTTTTATTGAAAGGAGGAGGAGTCAAATATCCTGAAAGGGTTGGGACTAGCCGCAGTCCCTCAGGAACTTCCTGTTGTCACCACACCTCTGGATTAGTTCGGTCTCTGAGCTCACGCTGAGCAGAGCTCTCAGTAGGGACTCCCGGGCTCGGAGAGGGAAAGGCTTCTTGTGAATGGGACACTCACTCTCTCCAGTTTCCACATGTGGAGATTATACTTCTTCATCAGTTTGATATGCTTGGTGAGATCAGGTATGTCACTTATTAAATAATTTTCTCAATTTTTAAGAAAAAATAGTCTTACTGTCATTTTGCAACTTCACATTCTTCAATGCACTTTTTAAAGTTCCACACGTTCTTTTTTAATGAAAGAAAATATGTATTAAATGAACTTTCTAATTTGGAAAGATATTACTTTTCCTAGTAATAAAAGAAACTATTATTCTTTTGAGTTAGTGTATTCTTCTGATGTACAAAAATTAAATATGCTGAAAAATCTAGCATAGGATTATTTTCTTTCATTGTTAAATTTTCTGTGCCTTTCACCTCTAAGAAATAAAGGAATTTATTTTCTGGAAATTTTAAATTTTATTCCATTATACTATTAAGTGTGTGAAGGGTAGGTTTTTAATAGTTTTTATGTTGAGGATTTATTTAAATTATTCTTTTAGAAAAACATGATTTATACACATAAACCTTAGCATGATGCCTGGGATATTGATAATTTAAAATTATTAATTATAAATTATAAGGAAAAGATCAAAACAGTGTTGTACACAGCAAAGTAACAAAAATAAGGTGAAATGCTTAAAAAAAAAAAAACACCTCAATACTTCCATGTGGAATTCAACTACTCTTAAGTTTCCTGGAAGAAAAAAACCTCAGTACTCCTCAGCCTTTTTAGGAATCCAGTTCTTTTTCACACTGCTGTAATGATGAAGAATAGTAAGGTTATTTTTTCAGGGAATCATGTAATATATTAGCACTCATAAAAATGTTCACATCTTTAGTAAAACCATTGAGGGGAATTCATTAAAAAGAAATAACTTTTTTTTTTACATCATTGCTCATTATTAAACAATATTTGCTCCCTCCCACCCCCTCAGGTGTAGTCCCCATAGAGTTTTCTTCACCAATGAACCCATGCACCATCACCACAGCCTCCTGTGCTCCTCCCTCCCTCCCTAGGATCCTTCTCCTCCCTCCTTCCCTGCAGGATGTCTCTGATTTATAATTGTCCATTTTTGCTTTGTTGTGATTTTTTTTACACTGACGTCTTATTTGGTTCCCTTATATTCCTGCTATAGGTGAAACCATCCGATATTTTTCTTCAAAAGAAATAACTTTTAAAAAGAACTGGAAAACCTAGTATACAAAGATGTTTCTGTTTTTTATAATAACTTAAAGCTAGATGGATCAGATATGCACCTACATACAGAAATGAATCCAGTATAGTATATCAACTTTTTTAAAAATGTGACCTTTAAAATAATTCTGAAGCTACGCAGAAATGTACACTTGTTTATAAAATAGTGCAAAGTAGAATAAACAGCTCAAATTTGTAGATAAATTAAGATTACAACTATGTTAAAATCGTGTATGTCCTTAAATAAAGTTCAGAAGAGAAATGAAAAATTTTAAATATTTGTATTAGCTTCAGGCCTATAAGTTTAACGTTTCTTAATTTGTGCTTGTGAAGTTGGTTTAATAGTAAGTGAAATTAGAGTACTAGTGATATTTTTAACTGACAAGTCAGCATTCTAAAGTATTATCATTTAAAAATTTTTAATGAAAGATAAAAAAAATTGACACTGAAAAAATTTCAGGGCAATGAGGATTAACCCTCACACAAAAACCTGATGATGACATGTGGGCATTTTCTTGCAGTCTCCTATTATATATGTCTATTTATTTTAAAAATGTGACCTTTAAAAATAGAACTTAATTATTTTGCGACCTGCCTTTTTACTTAACATTATCTCATCAGTAAAGATTTATTTTAAATGATTCTGGAAGAGTCACTGCTGCTTCATGGAATCTAAGCAGAGAGAGACACACCACAGCAAATTCTGTGGCTACAAGCTAAATCTAGACTTCTCGGTATTTGCCAAATATGACCTTGGAACTTTCATGGGGGAAGTTGTTGAATAATACGCATCTGAAAGCAGAAAGTATTAATCACAAATTGACTTTTTGTTTTTCCCTTTTTGTTTTCTTTGACTAGCAGCCCAAAAATTAGCAAGTATTAAGATGATTCAAAATCCCAAGGATACAAGTCATTCACTTTTGGAAAACTTTCTTTCCTTATTCTAGCATCTGAAATAATGATAAGAATGTTTACCATAATCTTATCGGGGATAAAGCAACGGCTGGCAAGCTGTAGTGTGTACCTGAATTACTTGGAGAATTTGTTTAAAATGCAGAGACTTCACCCCCAGAAATCCAGTGCAGTAGGTCCTGGGTGACATCTTGAAATCTGTATTTTTAACAAACCCTCAGAGTTTTTCAGGTGTGATGGCCCAAGGAACACACACTGATAAATATTGTTCTAAATGAAAACTGTTGTCATAAATATTTACAAGAGTTACTCTGTTAGCAATATTTTGGCCTATGGCAATATGTGTAAGACCAGGCAGATATTTTCCTGGAGAATACAGCTTGGTGCCCCAAACAATTGTTTCCATAGATATTGAAAATCCTGTGCAGATGATACATAACTCTGCTTGTGTGCCTCATTTTACTAACTTGAAGGCAAGGTGAGTGAAGGGGTGGGTTGCATATTTATTCACATGATTAAGAGATGACTGTGAAGAAATCTGGCATCTCATTTGTTTTCTCAGTTATAGTCTCAAGAAATACAGCCGGCGGTTAATAGCAGAGATGTCCTTCCAACCGAGAGGGCATTTTGCCCATCTGCTTCTTGCCTGTCTGTGCCTGAGAAAAAAAAAAGGAATGAGAGTCTACTAGGTTTGTCCCTGGCCAACTGTGGACAGTGACAATTTGACTTAGGATGGATTTTTTAAAGAAATATTTATTTATTTATTTATTATTATTTAATTTATTATTTAAGCATGCATGCATGCATGCATACAAGAGCTGCAGTGCAGGCCGTGGGTGGAGGGGGAGAGGGGTGTTGAGAGGATTCACCAGAGACAATTAGGAACAGAACAGGAGGATTGACTGAAATTCACTGCTGAATGGGGCAGCAGGCGAGTCAGGAGAGGTCTGCTATGCCATGTGGGTTAGCTCCCTGGTCAGGATCAGACTCCTGCTGCAGTGGCTTCATGGTGCTCATTTAACACCTTGAGCCAACAGGGAGATCCCTAGGGTGGATTTCTAATGCCCATTTAGTGTATCCCTCTGCATTAGGAAAGTGTAAATGGACTTGCCATTTAGATTTAAATAATTTAACGGTAGGGACAAGTCACCTCCCCCTTCTACTAAAAAAATAGAGAACCAGGACCTCCCTGGTGATGCAAGGGGTTAAGTACTCACTGTAAAGCTATGCACGGCCTCTGCAGCAAGAGTTCCATGCCCTGTTGGGCCCAGGAGATACCCACATGGCGCAGCAGACTTCTCCTGTCTTGCCCGCTGCTCCCCTCAGCAGTGTATTTCAGTCAGTCTGCCTGTTCTGCTCCCCACTCTGTCTCTGGTGAATCCTCTTATCCCCCGCACCTCTGGCCTGCACCCCAGTGCTTGAATGCACAAATAAATAAATCTTAAAAAAAAAATAGGGAGCCAACTCTTTTTAATTTCTGTAAGGCAAAATTTCTGGCCTAAAGAGATTTTTATTTCTGTGACTTTTGGAAATTCCTTCAGAACATTGTTTTCAGACAAGTGTGAGTGTGCTCAGGTGTGGGTGTGGATTGCAGCAATCTTCCCGGCTTCTTCAGTAAACACGTGGTGAGCTGTGTCCGAGACACTGACTAGCAGCCACTGCTCCACATATAGCCTACACAAAATGTCTCCCTGAGCCTTGCTCTGCATCTCAGTAAATATGTTCAGGCAGTATTGAGTGAATATACCTGATATTGGACCTCTGTTCTAAAGAAGTTGCTAACGTACTTCTCTGTACTGGGTTTGGGTTTGAGGGGGAGCTTGTGTATGTCTTAGAACCCCAAAACTTGAAATGAAAGGAGTGCGGCCATTTGGATTGAACTCCCTGACTGAATACCAAGCAAGTTTAAATTAGGTGGAAGTTCATGGTTTTCATTTGGGTATGCAGGTGATGGACTGAACTTCACCAACCATGAGTCTAAGAAAAACTGGTAACTTTTATTTTTAATCAGTTGACTTAGCCATGTTGAGAGGTTTGATGTGAACCTACTTTTGATTTTTGAGTCTTATAGACTCTCAGAACTTTCTCTCCTTTTGCTCACATTTATAGTTACTTCATTAGTGGGTTATCCATAAATTCACCTGTTCACCAAAACGTCTTGGATGTGGAAGTCTTCTCTTTTTGAAGTTTTCCTCCAATCAGATATGTGGGAAATGAAATCAGTTTTCTCCAAAAGCAGGTAGAAGCAAAAATGCCAGAACTGAGCATCACACAGAGGCTGCATGCAGCTTTATTTTAGCTTCAAGCCAGTGTGGCCTTTGAAGACAGAGCAAAAGGATCCTTTTCCTTGGAAGTTTAATCCAAAAAGGAGCCAGATTGTCAGCGGTCAGTCTTGTCTCAGAGAATCACACTTTCCCAACATGCTGGGGTTCTTAGGAAATAAGTCACTCCACAGAAGTAGATGTCTGTTTTCTCCATTGTATCCTAAAGAAACATAACCAATAGTTAAGGTAGAGATGTCTTTCCAATCAAGAGGGTATTTTGTCTACCCAACCCAATTTTAAGCAATCTGGTTAAGATTAAGCAACAGTTGTATTTAGTCCCTAAGCTTTAAAATAAGAGTTTATTTTGCACAGGCACAGTCACAAACCCTCTCCTGCAACAGACTGACCAAGGTTGTGGGTTGAATGCAACTTTCAGTGGTAGAAAATGGATAACCATCAACCTTGGCCCCCAAGGGGAAAGAAAACTAATTGGAAAACTCAGAGCCTGTTTTGATTTTTTTTTTTTTTTTTAAGAGGCATGTTTTTATTTATTTATTTATTATATTTGTTTGTTTTGTTTATACATGCACTGGGTACAGTCAGAAGCGCGGGAGGGTGAGAGAATTCACCAGAGCCAGAGCGGGGAGCAGAGCAGGCAGAAGGGCTGAAGTACACTGCTGAGGGGAGCAGCGGGTGGCAGGAGAGGTCTG